CGAAAGTTCACTCGTTCTCTCAGAGATGGCGCCACATATCATGCCCAGGAGGTGCTGCCCTCTTATCGGCGAAAATTCGAACTAATGCGAATTCTTTAATAAGATTTACTCATTGAAATTTCGACGATGGGATTTTTAAATTGAATTCGGAATTATTTTATTCGCGAAAGTTCACTCGTTCTCTCAGAGATGGCGCCACATATCATGCCCAGGAGGTGCTGCCCTCTTATCGGCGAAAATTCGAACTAATGGAAATTCTTTACTATGAATGCTTGATAATTTCAAAATTAAAAAAAAAGTGTGCCACTACCAAAAAGTAACGCAATTTTTTGAAAGTGGCCCTACCGCAATCTAAACTATACCAGCGTCTTCTATGGACCATTCTGACTTTCTGCATTAAGAGATCTTTCAAGGAAAAAGCCCTAAACCCAGCCGTTCTCGAGATACAGCCTCCCAGAGGTGCAATTTCGAGAATTGAATTTCAAACTATATTAGGAATAGGTGAAGGATGCAGTTAGGACGAAGGAGAGTAAGAGAGAGACAGAACTCATTCGTACTCTGGGATATTCGCATAGGGTAAAAGAATATCAACGTGTATAAGTGTTTAAAGATAATTTATTCAACATATGCAATAATGATACAGTATACAAAGTACAGACATACATATCAAACTATATTAGGAATAGGTGAAGGATGCAGTTAGGACGAAGGAGAGTAAGAGAGAGACAGAACTCATTCGTACTCTGGGATATTCGCATAGGGCAAAATAATATCAACGTGTATAAGTGTTACAAGATAATTTATTCAACAAATGCAATAATGATACAGTATACGTATACAGTATATGACATGCGAAAGATTAACAATAACAGTACCATTAGAGATATACTACATATACCACTACAATATAATATACGTGTGGTATGTTACATGCGGTACGACTTTGAACTTTTCCTTTTCCAAAGGACTCTTTAACAACTTAGTTTTGAAGGATATACTAGAAGGAGAGTGGTAGAGACATAGGAATGAATAGAAATCTTAAAAACTAGAGTGAAGAAGTTTGGTGGCAGCAGACAGGGAAGATGTTGTTTAAGGGAAAGAGAGGAAGATTGTTAAAAAGAAAAAGTGATGAAGAGAGATGGTAAGGACTGAGGGAACAAGGAGAGATGAAGATGCATAAAATGTATACACGAGGATCAGATTATTCTGGAGGAGCGAGAAGGGAGAACACTCGAAAAAGTAGGATAGGTAGGAAGTATAAGGGAGCAAAATGGGCCCCTGCTCGTCCATTTCCGTGAGGTCCTGCCTCTTCACAAGAGAGCAACGACCCCTCCGAGGTCCCATAAGGGACCGTGTTTTTTTTTGATTGAGGAAAACGCTCAAGTCCTGCGGCTGTTGCACACAGCACGAGGGGGGGG